CCAAAGCCCTTCTCGCAGTCTCATTGCTTCACACTGATACCTGGGATTACACTTCCAATGCCTGACTACTGGACTGCACCTTCAAACCATAGGAGATGTGGTGCAGATTTTCTACTCCAACTGCAGTCAGCTTTCATAAATAATTTTTGAAGAAATCTAAGCATATTTGATTCTCTTGGAACAAACTCACTAACACTTTAAAAATTGTATTACAATTTCTCTTTTAGTTCAATTTATAGCACATGGGGGCCAGCCAAATAGCTCAGCGCATTAAAGCACCTGCATGCAGGTGCAGGGGCCAGGGGTTCACTCCCCAGCTTGCGGTGCCGGCCCCGCCCCCAGGGCACGCTGAGACTGCAATTGAGACTGGGCATGGTGGTGCACACCTGTAATCCCAGATCTTTGGAGGCTGTTAACAAGCAGATCATTACGAGTCCATCCTAGTAGCGAGACCCTGAACACCCTGTAGACCTTTCCTTAAAATACAAAAAAAAAAAAAAAGAAAGAAAGAAAAAGAAAAAAGAAAATTTCTAGCACTTATTTGTATTTTCTTTATTCAGCTTCTTGGTCAGTGTGTTCAAAACTGTGCATTAAATTTTTAACCTTTTAAAATAAGAGTGTTATTGATGCTATTTGTTCCTTTTCCTGTCGTATTAAGTTCTGTTTTCATCATCTTCACTATTTATTTTTACACTTGTGAGTTTGTTATTGTTTTCTTTTGAGTAAGGTTCACAACTTAATAATTTTCATGCCTTCTGTTTTTCACATTCACGATTGGATGTGCTTTTTTGACTAATAATGTGGTTACATCCTAATAAATTTATCATTAAATTGAAATGTTGTGAGCCAAAAATGCCTGAGTACACCTAATATACCAAACATCATAGCTTAGCAACACTGCATACTGTATTTATTAGCTAACTTGGAATTGTAACTCAATGCCATTTCATAGTACTGTAAGAGGGTATCATACCAATGTCTCTAGGGTAGGAAAAATCAAACTTTAATATTTTAAGTATTATTTCTACTAAGTGCATGTTGTTTTGCCCACCATAAAGCAAAAAATTCATAAATTGGACCATGGCAATCAGAGACCATCTGCATAAATTTCTCAGTAGGTATAATTTGAAATTCATAATAGAAGGGTCAGCCAAATAGCTCATCAGATTAAAGCACCTGGTTAGGCAGACTCAGAGTCCAGGAGTTCAATTTCCCGGCCTGCAGTGCCAGCCCATGGCTTGCGCTCCGCCTCCAGGGCATGCTAAGAGGGCGATTGAGATTGGGTGTGGTGGCGTGCTTCTATAATCCCAGTACTTGAGAGGCTGTAAACAGAAGGATCACTGTGAGTCTGATCTATGCAGTGAGACCCTGCACACCCTGTCATAAATAAAAAAAAAAATCGTAATATATATTTTTACTAGTAATCCTCTAATGTTCTGTTTAAAATATTCATAACTTATTTTATAACTTGTTTCTCATGCCAAACTTGAGTAGGCATTTATATTTTGTTTTTATTTTGATTTCAACTTATGTTATTGTGTTGGGGTTGGAAATCACAGTATGTGATATCATTTAAGATTGGTTGGGGGACTAGCGAGATATGATATTGGACTATATCACCTGCTTAGGCAAGTGCAGGGACCACAGTCTGATCTCCAGCACCACATGCTGCTCCAGCCCCACTCCCAGGCGAACAGAGCCACACATCGAATCCAGGCTTGGTGGCGAACACCTGTAATCCCAGTGCTAGGGAGGCTGAAAGCAGGAGGATCTCTATAAGTCTGAGCTACATAGTGAGACTCCGTAACAACCAAATACAAAAACAAACAAACAAACAAACAAAAAAAAAAACAATTGGTTGGGGCCGGGGAGATAGCTCAGCGATCTAAGCCCCTGCCTGGCAAGCACAAGGATCCGGTTTGATCCTTGGTACCACATGCTGTGCTGGCCCCATGCCAAGCTGGCCACTGAAACTGAGTATGGTGGTGCACAATTGTAATCCCAGCACTGGAAAGGCTGAGAAGAGGATCACTACAAGGCTGAGCTGCGTAGCAAGACCCTGTACCAAATAAATAAATATATATATACATGTACATATTAAAGTTAAAAATTAGTTGAAATTTCCTTTGTAGTTTTATTTTGGTGATGTATTGTAAGTGTATCTTGTACGTGTTCCATGTGTTCTTGCAAAGAATAGGCAGCCTCTATTATTGAACACAAGATTGAAAAGGAGCCCTACTAGTTTGCATTGTTTAGATTATTTTGTTCACTTATAAAACTCCATTAGGTTGACAGATATGTCAATAATCTCATGTATTCTTGTCCATTTTTGCCTCACATTTCTAAAGCTACACTTACAGGTACATGCAAACTGAAATTTTATTTGCTCTTCCCAATAACTCATTGGATCATGTATAGTGATTCTCCTTGTTACGGCAATGTTTTATTACCTTAAAGTGGTTTTTAAACAACTTTTGCCTTTACTCTTATAATTTTATCCCATGTTACGTCGGTTTCTGGTGAAAATCATCCAGATGGATTTTATGTCCAAACTAGGAATCTGTTCCTCACTCTAAGTCACATAATTTAATCACTCTTATTCTGATTTTATTATTTATTTATTTATTTGTTTTACCAGGGAATGAACTCAGGACCTTGCACTTTCCAGGCAGGCGCTTATGCCACTGAGCTATCTCCCCAGCCCTCTATCTAGTACATGCTTAATTTATTTGTTAGCTTACTTCTACTTGCCATCAAGAGTTATGAAGTATCTAAAATGTGTCCTTTTCTCCAAACCTGTTACTTGCATTTTCATGATGGCTAAGAGAAGATACAGAACTTCTTGGTTAAAGACAAAAGGTTTTGCTGCTAACACATACATCAGTTCCCAGAGTATCACCATTTAGATGAATTCCCAGAGCCCAGTTTCTACAGCGAAGCATGGAGAGGTCCAGGTGAGGTCAAACATTTGTATTGCCTCTACAAGACTGTGGTTTCCAAAGTTCAGTATTCCTCTCCTATTACGCTGCCTATGATTATCTGAGCAGGTGCCACCAAGCTATCCTCATGATGCCCTGTGAAAGTTAGGGAGCAAGAATTCTCATGTGATTTGTTTGTGGAAATTCATGCTGTGGTTTACTGTTTTCTCCAATGGGGCAGGTGTAACATTAGCTCATTTGAAGTATGGATTTATTTGAAGGAACCATTATTGGGTAAATTCTGTGAATGTCCTTCCAGGGTGGATTAAGACCTACTTTCGCCAATAATGTCAAGGTATAAATAGCAATGGAGGGCCGGTCAAATAGCACAGTGGATTAAAGCACTTGCAAGCAGGTGCATGGCCTGGGAGTTCGATCCCGGGGCCTGCTGTGCTGGCCCCACCCCTGGAGCGGGCTGAGAGGTCAATTGAGACTGGGCATGGTGGCGCACACCTGTAATCCCAGCACTCGGGAGGCTGTAAATAGGCAGATCACTAGGAGTCAAGTCCAGTCTACACAGTGAGACCCTGAACACCCTGTAGACCCTGCCCTAAAATACAGAAAGACAATAGCAATGGATTTTACATTAAAGACAATTCCTTGCCTTGGAAATTTCAAGGGTAAATATATATTCAAGTGGAAATCTGGATTCATATTAACACACCTACACTAAATAAAAGTCCATATTTTCATTTCTCATGTCAGATGTTTTATTGGCCTGACCCAGAACTTCAGCACAAATCAGTTTCCTCTCCTTTTGCTGCATCTGTAGCTATTCTTCCAGTGCATTTCTTCAGAAAGAGCAGATTCGAAGGTATCTGTTTTTTAATGGAAAAAACGAAACAAAATTTCATAATAAAATGGATTTTGGTAGAGTTCTCAATTCCAATTTCTCACCTAGCAAAGGCACAATACCTGTCACAAAATGGGCACAGAAAGCCAATTTGCCAAGGACAATGAGCAGAAATTCAAGTATTCATTCTGCTTTGGAGTTTACTTTTTAGGTTAGGCTCCTGGAAGTTAGTTTGAAATAACTTTTAACAATTATGAAAGTATTTTCTTGAACTATTTGCAACAGATTTATTTTTAGTAACCGTGACTACTGAAGATTACTAGTGTATAGAATGGACATGAACATGTAGCTTTAAATTTGACAATAAGGCCTGTGAGATAGCTCAGCTGACCAAGCACCTGCTTAGGCAAGGTCAGGGACCAGGGCTCAGTCCACTGCACCACACGCCATGTGGCACCAGTCCAGGTGTGGTGGTGCACGCCAGTAATCCCAGAACTGGGAAGGCTCAAATCAGGAGGATCACCAGAAGTCCTACTTGTGTAGTAAGACCCTGTACCAAATATAATAAGTAAATGAATAAATAAATAAATAAATTTGGCAACAACATAATAATGACCCACTTTATCTGCATTTTCTCTGAGAAATCCAAATCATCTACTGCTATTTCAGTTCTTTTCCTAAAATAATCTACTTCTCCTTATATTATACACAAAACTATTCCTATCTATAGACCTGCACTACTTTTTTATTTTTATTTTTATTTTTCTTATAAAACCTGGGATTGAACTCAGGCCCTTGCACTTACCAGACAAGCACTTATTCTACTGAGTTATCTCCCCAGCTCTTTTACACTACTTTTATTATGGTCAATCAGTAACTATATGATAGTAAATGGCTAGAGTATAATAATATATATTATACTCTAGAGTAATAGAGTATAATATTCATAAAAATGAATTTGATTTGAAAAAGCAACAGTGCTTTTATTATTGTGTATTGAGTTGATTCTCACAGTTCTGTCTGGAAAAAGAACCTTTCTTAAAATGATATTCACCATATTAGAACATGTCAGATATTTTCCCCCATATGAATCATTCATCAGCTAAAACATGATACAACAAACAGTATATTTTCACAATGAGAAAGTAATATTCATAAAATCACTATATCCAAATAACATTTCCTTACAAAATTCATTACAAAATGTTAATGAGTATAATAAGATTTACCAGTTGTGACTCTTTAGCTTTAGAATCTTCAAAGTTTGGCTTCTCATACACATTACTAAATTTGAAGGATTCTTTGGTTTCTTGAGAAAATTTCTCCTCAACGAAAGACTCAGGTACTGTTGGCAAATCTTTGCTGTCAGGTGATATGTTGGAATCTTCAGATTTTTCTTTATTTCCTATATTTATACTTTTCTCTTTCAGATTTTCTTCAAAAGTGCTGCTTTCCTCTATTTTTTCTATATCAGGATAATATGAATCAGAATCCACAATGTTGTCAAAATATGCATGTGAAATTCCTGCTGTTAAAAACACATTTTAAAATGCAAATAGATTCAACTAGAGTAAAATGCCAGAGAAGGAAAAGTTTTGGGGAAAATATTTAACAATGAAGTTTGTTTTACAAAAATTTATTTTCTTTATATATTATTGTTATTATTATTAGCAGTAGTAGTAGTCATAGTAATAGTACTAGTAGTATTGACAGGGCCTCGCTACGTAGTTCTGACTGACCTTGAGTTCATTATGCTCCCAGGTTGAGCTGGAATTTGTGGTGATCCTCCTGCCTCAGCTTCTAAAATGCTGAGATTACAGGTGAATGGCACCACACCCAACTTATAAAATTTAGTAATGGGATATTCAATGCTAAAATATTTTATAATGTCACATTCCTAAATGGAAACAATAATTTTTATGCTGCTAGATATTAATTACACAGACTTCCATAAAGAAGCAAAAATTTATATTATAACGAAGTCTTAAAGTTGATACATTTTTATTTCAGCCTGTGGTTCAATTCTTACTTCCCACCTCTTGTCTCATTATAATATTACAACTAGAATTTTTGAGGAGTAATTAAGAGAAAACCCTTTTCTACATTTACCCTATATGATGTACCACACCCAGTCAAAAGAAAAGACAGAGAGAAATGTACCGAATCACTGAACAGAGCAGAAGATGTGTCACCGGGACACTTGCCTACAGAAACCTCCAGGATGAGCAAGATCGTATTAGTCGCCCACCTCTTTGTGTCTGTTTTAAATGAATCACTTAGTTTAGATCATGGGGTTTCATCCTACTACGCCATGGAATCATCAGATGATACTCTTTAAAACTGTTTTCTGGGAGATGGTGGCTTTGTGAGTGAGGGGTGAAATGGATGTAGAAAGTGTGTGTGATCTCAAACAAAAATAAAAGATTGTCTGGATATGGATCAAATACCTAAACAATGAAGTCAGATGCTGGAAATGAAGTTCAGCCACTGCAGCTTTTAGCTTCCCAAACTGTATCTACAGCATATCATAATGCACAGCCCAGAGAGTGAAACAAAGTTCTAGCTTCTTGATGAATAGAAGTTCTTTAAGAATATATCCATCAGCTTGATATACAATTATATGATACATAATAAATACAATTTACATTGAATATAGCTTCATGTCATCATCCCCATTCTCTTTTTAAAAGAAACATCTCTGTAAATAGACTACATGACATAGTAGAGACTTAAACCTAAATAATCTCCACTAAATTCTGTTCTGTCCTTCAAAAAATATCTTGTGATAAAAAGTTTATATAGCTTAGTTATTGTATATGGTATGTAAAATAACCACTTCAACTACTGTGGGTTTTAAATATTACAAATATTGTGAGAAAAAAATAAATTATGTGTCAGACAATTGCTTTTATAAGACTTCATGAAGGATATAAAATATAATGAAATTTCTTCAATAATGCTACACTTCCTTACCAGAAATTTTCGGAATAAAGGAATTTTCTGGACTTTTAGAATAATGAGATGCTATTTCTTATGTTGAAATTTCTGCAACTACCTTCAATAATCTTTTTTTTTAAAGACTTTTTTAAAATTTGTGTGTGTGTGTGTGTGTGTGTGTGTGGCCAGCTCAGCCCACCAGGGGGCAGGGCTGGCTGGCATGTGGTGCTGGGGGATTGAACCACGGTCCTGTGCTTGGCTAAGCTTCTTCTAAGTAGGTGCTTTAGACCACTGAGCCATCTCACCAGCCCCAATCTTTTTGAAAAGTTGTAGAATTCTCCTACTGATATGCTATATTATTTAAATAATTAGCCTTTAAATAATGCTAAAATTGCAATATAATATAAATATATTTAATTTACTCTAGTCATTAGATGACCTGTTTATTCATTAATAATTATGTGCCTTGTTTCAATACTCAGTAATCAAATATTCAAATCCATCACCTTGGCTAAAATGAAATCACATGACTGCATTCAGAATAAAAGGGCATGTATCATAATCTAGTAAACATTCATGATAAAGACGATTTCTTATCAATTTAGAAAGAGGAGACTTGCTTAATTTGCTAAAGAACAACTCTATACCACGTTAACATGGTACCTAAGAGTGAGAAACCAGATCTTTATACTAAGCACAGAAACAAGTTTGTTCCAAACTTCCACTCCTTTTCAATGATGTATTTAAAGACTAATCTATTTTAATAAGGCAACAAAATCAAAGGTAGGCATAATGGCAAGGATAAAAATGTCTGCCTTTGTTTCCAGATAATTGTCTAGGAAGAAAAATCAATATACTTTGCCAAATATCCTCCACAAACTAACAAGCAACTATAGCAGTCGTGTAGAGCATAAGGACACTGTACCAAAATCATTCACAATCCCTATAAACTGATAAGGAGTATGTAGATTTAAGATGTAAAACTCAAGATTATTTTTATCCCCCTCAACAGAAATATGAAGGACTAAATCTAATTATGTATAAGATCTATAGGAAAAAAACTAAAACTTCTGGTGAAAGATATAAAATAGCTGAATAAATGGAGAGATATGCTTTGCTTATGAACGGAGGAATTCAACATTATCACTATATCAGTTCTTTCCCATTTGATCTATAGATTCAGTGGTATGCCTATCAATATTCTTGCTTAATTTGTGGCTATGAACAAATTTATATGGAACAGCAAACAACCTAGAGAAGTCAACACAAATGAAAGAAAAAGAGGACTGACAACAACCTACTTAAAGATGTGCTACATATCTACACACCTCAGACAATGCAGTATTAGAAAAAAGAAAAGTACATGAACACACAGTGAAGCACCATAGAGAACCCAAAGTAGACCCATACGCTAGCGGTAATCAAGCGATCTTTGAAAAACAAGCAAAAGCAATACACAGGAGAGAAAGGCTGTTTCAACACTAAATGGTGATATAACATAAAGTAATTCCAGACACAGACTTTATACCTTTCACAACAATTAACCCGGAGATATCCCAGAGCTACATGAAAAATACAAATCATGGGGAAAAAAACCTAGATGATCTTGGGTATGGAATAAATCTTTGAGATACAAAGTCAAAGAAACAGAAAATAAAATTAATTTCATTTAAACTAAAAACGTAGTTCTCTGTAAAAAATACACTGAAGAGAATGAAAAGAAAAATCTATAGGGCTTGCCAGATAGCTCAGCGGACTAAAGTGCCTGCTTAGGCAGAGCGCAGCAGCCGGTTCGATCTCCAGCTTGCCATGCCGGCCC